GGAATTATAACCCAGCACATATGGAAAATAATAAAATTTTATGCCTCCAGAATTATTCACAACATGGAACTCCTGCTGCGAAAACTTGTTATAGATCAGAAATGTTCTACATCCTCTTTCTTTTGAATTATGTTCAAAGAGATGTTGAATTTTAATAGCGCTATGTGAAAGAGCTGAGTGAAATCTCACTGAAGCTGCCGGACAAAATCATCACCTTTCATTCAAGATAAATGTAAGAAACAAGCAAACTCTTTTATGAAGCCTGATAACTGAAATTACAGAAGTTATCATCAAAACCAAGAGAAACGTGAAGCATATGGACCCATGAGTTTCTCTAGAAACTCATGTGCTTAATGCAGAGAGAGAGCATTAATCAAGGCAAGATGATTAATCCCGATAAGCAGCATAAATGTGTAAAAGGAATAAAGAAACCACCAGCACAGCTCGACAAACTAGCATTGTGATCTTGGTAGACGAAAAGCTGAAAGAGAGGTTGGGGGTAAAACACTGGGTGAATGAGGTTTGGAAAAAAAGAAGTTATTGCCTGTTATTTGATTCTGTCTTTGTTCAAGGAAATAAAACTCTGTACTTTCTTTGTAAATAAAATGGAACTCTATCAAAGCAAAACCCTGTCCTGAGGATGAATTTTCTTTCCAGCTGAGAAGAAAACAACCCACAGACCTGACAAATTGTTTAACCACTCAGGTAAAATGTGAGGAGAGTCATCCAGTTTTCAAGAAAGGGAATCATGAGGTGGAATTCCCACTGAATCAAAATAGAATCAATGAAGGTTGTATCTCTCAGAAATAGTAATTGGTAAAAAGATGAAAACAAGACCAGATAAAATTAAATGAAGACTTAAATCAGCTAGAGGCTTTTAGAAATTAATTAAAGTAGCGGCTGGAAAACTTCCAGAGTGGTCCAAGAGATGACAAGCAGGCAGAGATGAAATCTGCACTTGAGCCACAAACACAGAATATCCAGACAGATTAGGAAGCCCTGTGGCAAAACAGATCAATGAGATGACTGACAACACAACTCCTGCAGGCTAGAAAGTTTTCAAAGAAATGGGTGAGCCAGGAAAGTTGGAACTAACTTGGCACTTGCTGACTGAGAGGAGCTATGCCAAGAAACTAAGGAGCTGCAGAAGTAAACTGGAGAGTCAGAGATAACTGTGGAAGTCTGATGCCTAGAAGTGGTCTTTTGCCATTAGAAAAGCCAGTGTAAGACTATTGTCTTTTTTATCATTATTATTTTTCACGACATATACAAATTTGAACACCATTTGAAAATTACCCAATATCCAGCTCAAACACTGTGTCTTTGAGAGAAAAACTTCCATCAAGCTAGATCTCTCAAGTCAATGTGAAAACCCAAATGAACACGAAGTTGTACAGAAAATTCTGAGTCTAATGTCCAGTTCTATCGGCTCTAGTTAGATGGTACTGAAGAATAACACCTCCTCTTCTCCACCCTACCAAAAAGACACAATCTTCCAAGAAGTGGTCACTAGTGAGATCAATGAAACTTGTCTCTCTTCAGTCTCACAGCGGTACTGGGTTTGTATCTGCTTACTGTGGGAAGAATGCTAAATGAGATGAGCCTGGATCAAGTGTCATCAGTGTTGTATGAAAAAGCTTTGAATAGTTTGGGAAAGAGAAGACACTGATCTAACTATGATCTTTGTTCAGATTTGGGCAACTCAAAAACAGTAAATGGGAATTTGATTGCTAAGTGTCTAATAGCACTTGCACTAAAATACTGGCCACTGAATCAACATAAGATGTTTTAGAGGAACCTACTAATAAAACTAGGAAAAAAAAATCACCCAAAATTACTTATCTGTTTGATCTTAAATAGACATAATGGATGTGACCACGTGATCATGTAGTGGACAGACTAAGAGCAGCAGAAACAGCAGAGCAGTGTCAGAGCTCAGGAACTGAGGTCCTTTAGAAAGGAGCTCCCTCCAGATACATCTTTAGCCTTCTCCGCTGCCAGGAGGCATTCAGACCATTGGACTAATGAACAGTTGGTCTGAAGTAAAACCTACAAAGTGTTGTGACATTCTACAAATCCATTCATAGTGGGCCACACTGCTTGCAACTGTAGACGTAGTCACTGATTGGTGGAAGAATCTAATGCAAGCTTAAGGGAAACCAGTCTTAAAAGCTGTGTCAGAAATTTGAGCATGAAATCTAGACAGCAAAATCAGAAGCAGTTTGGATTTCATTATGGGTATCAGCTGTGCTGTAAATGCCAGGAAAGTTGCCTTACACTTTCAAGTAGAACAAATGCTCTTTAGACCACAGAGTGGAAACAATTATAACAAGTTCTTGCTGGGGCAGCCTTTCAGCCAAGATACAATGAAGTGGCTGCTGCTCACCATGCAACTGGTCTCTCAGAAATCTCAGCATCTAAATCTCTGCAAAAATTAGGAGCAATACATCTAATAAATATTGCCATAGACGTTGATGAAACTCCAAGTGTTTCTGCTGGACTTGCTAAAGCATGACAATGTGCATTTAGACAAAGAACAGCAGAATAGTCCCACATCCCTCTGGAGTCAGTCATTCTTCTCACTATCAGTCAGAAAACTGCCTCATTGAGCACAAAAAAGGGAAAAGAGCAATACAACTCAGCAACAGCTGGGATTAAGTGGAGGAGGGAGAGGGAGGAGAACTACTGAGAAGATGCATCAGGAATGAATAATTGAATCTTTAAACAGTCCCCAGTGGCAGCACCATGGAAGTACCATAAACTACAGAAAACTGTATTAAATAAATATCAAAGGATTGTGCCCTGACAGCAGTTAAGGCTCTATTTTCCATAGAACATTCAGGTTTCCCAGGCCTTACCTTAAAATAAGTACTATTATGTGAAAACCAGAAATTAAATTTACTCCTGCAACCGGGCATAAACTGCAACATCTTCAAGCCATGGTTTTTCGCTTGTACACTGGGTCTACTACATTGCAGTGGTTGAGGATGCACTGTTCTGCAAGGAGTTAATCTCTCTTGGCTTGTTTATTATGCCTAGTTGGTACCCTGGGGCATGTAAAAGGCTTGGGACAGGAACCGGCACATTGATATGTGTTCAGTAGGAAGTTTAAGAAAAGTGGGTGATGGACCAACCTGCCATGGGCAGATTGTTATGCTGAAGTGACAGACATAATCAAAATAAATCTCAGAAACCAATTTTCCTGTGGAACCTAATAGAATAAACAATAAAAGAACATCACATCAAAAATGGACACATAGCAATACTTGAACTGAAGGTGAACCATGGCTTCCAAATGGTTTGTGTGGAGATGTTCACAGCAAATCTGGTGGGGAGACGGAGTGAACTTTCACTGACAGATAACTGGGAGGAGACATAGCAAAAAGAGCAGAAGGCAAGTGAAGACTCCTCCACCCAAAATAGCAAGAGGAAAGAAAGGAAAGAAAGAGATCTTTTGAGTATGAAGTTGGAATGAAGAAGATTGGATCACAGAACAAAAAAATAACATTTCAGTTGTAGTCTCTGTGACCATGCAAACAGGTTGCCTAACTGTTCATACTGTGTTTGTATGATTAATTCTGATTTCTGCAATGCTTATACAAAGAGGGCTCTTTCTTCAACATGCAAAGGGGCAGGTGCAGGTGAAAACATACAAAATATAAATATATAAATATGCAAAAATATACAATTAAAAGCCTGGGCCTTAGGAATCATAAAATGTCATTACAGAACAGCTAATATAGAATTTGATTCTGCATGTTTAACTTAACAGACACATTTTCAAGTTCCATGCCTGTCATAAGGAATCCACCTACCAAGGGAAAAAAGATCAGTCTTCTCAATTGTGTCTAATTACCAAACAGTGAAGATAAAACCCACAAGTCACCTGAAAATTTAAGCCAGACCAAAAGTTCAACTGACTTCAAGCAGAAAGCATTTGCTCTGCTCTTCTAAAACCAGTCCCAAAATATCTCAGACTGAGCACTTAAATATCCAGGCATCCAAAATTCAACAATTTTTTTGAAAATGTGCTGATTCCTTGTCATAAAAAGCAGGAAATTGTGACATGAAAAACATCTTCAATAGGGATCAGTTAATACTTTCTAATCATAGGTCATGTAATGCAGATGAAGAAATGATTTCAACTGATGCAAGCTACTAAAATACAATGATGTCTGAAATTTTTGCACAGATATTCTTTATCTTAACAAAAAATGCTTCTAAACTCATAATGCAAAACAAAAACCCCAAACATATGTTTGTATTGATAATAAGACCCAATTAGCCTCCTCCCCAAACAGCTCCTGTAACCTGTCAGGTGCACTTCTACACTTTCAAAGGAATATCTAACACAGTGTATCCATCACACAATCATACACATCTAGCCCAGCAATGTGTGTATGTCCAAATCTGAGAGCTGCACTAGCAAGTGAAACACCTGCATGCAAAGTAAATTCCTGTTTGTATATCAATAACTACTGCATTTAGCCCCAATCCTGCAAAAAATTCTGCCTCTATTTAAATTTATGCAGCTGGGTCTTGACTATGTGTGGTAAGGAAAACGCGTAAGACTTTAAGCATATTGGGGAACTAGGACATGTGAGAAGTAGGTTTCAATGGGAAAATTCATGGCACACAATGTTAGGTCCTTTGTAATCTGGAGAGTGACCATGAATTCTGGCTACATTCTTCAGAAGGTCAGGCCCTCTCAACATCACCCAGTCCTTGGCAGTAATTTAACTACAGAGACCTGGCACTAAAACATGAATATTTTGGCCTGAGGTTTTCGATAATTTTCAGATCAACTATTCTTTAGCAGGGCTTGTCTTAATACACAGATGGCTTCAATATCTATGTACTAGATTTAACAAAGACATTAGAATGGAGGTTATTACACCTATAGTGACTCAAGCACAACATATTTCTATACAACTTACATTTCAAGAAGCACAGGAAAACTTACGACATAAATTCAGTTTTCAAAAAGGTGTTTAACTTACCTGCCAGAAGTCAGCAACAGTAGCAGGGAGAGGGCCCTGGGTGGCAATATATGCAGGGTTTCTGGGGTCATGGTCCATCTGGAATAAGAAAAAAGAACATGGACTGGATTTGTTGGAAAGAAAAATCCCTTGCTGTGTTAGAGACAGAAAGTATGTAAGGGCAGAACAAGGGACTGTCCCTCCATCCTTTATTGGCAAGCAGAGAATTTTATTTCTGTTTTTTTCCCCCAAAAGACTGATGCTACCAGATGAATATCATCACACATGATGAGCCATGTCCTATGTCCTCAATATGCAGAGTAAGATCACTTATGGTGGCTGACAAAGGCATTTATTTGAGATCAGTACTTGTGGTTTCATAGCAACCTAGGAGCCATTTGAAACATTTTTCTACACTGAATGTTAAGAATGCTCCACACATCTAAATATGTTCTCCATTTCCACTGTGCCAGTCAAGGGCACATGCAACTAAAAACCAGCAAAAATGGGGAACAAATTCAGTTTCTGGCTTTTTCCGGTTAGCTGATTTATCTAAATGCATGGATTTGGCCTCAATGGAGGAAGTTCTGTTTAAAGACCTTAATTATTACGTTTAATTCAAGGAGCAGAAAATTCACTGAGCAGAAAAAATAAAGAATCTGAGAAACAAAGCCATCAAGAGTAAATAGGATTAGTGTGTTACAATGAATGTTTTCAAACCGATGGGTGGTTTTCTTGGTTCTAAATCTTAGGACTCATTCTGCTGAAAAAGAAGATCTGCTGATAGGATTAAAAAACAAACAAACTCATTCTAACCCTGGGTAAGACAAAACTTTGAACAAAAAGAAAAGAGACCTGGTTCAGCTCAGATGTGTGGGTGTGACTCAGTGACACTGAAGTCGGCGAGAGTTAACTTATATCCATGTAGCTGAAGGCAGAATTTGTCTCAATACATGATTCTGTTCTATAAGTAAAGATCTGAATAAGAATGAATGTGAGCCACATTTGCATTAACAGGCATCTCCAGAATTTATTCATAGCCTATCAAAATTTTCAGTGATGGTACATGTCTGCGCAAAAGAAGGCACCTCATAATTATGTGCAACATAAAAGAGGGAAGAACCATAAAAGAACAGATGTAAGTTATTCTAAAAGAACAACAATATAATGAATGTTGCAAAAAGGAAGAGAACACTTTTATGTTTCTAATTTTCTGACATATAATTAAGCCGGACTTAATATTAAAATTCCCCATGACAACACAACACAGGTAAAATGAAGTCACCGAATCAATTTAAACTAAAAGCTTACTTCTGATTCACCACCCATAGTTACAAAAAAACTTGTCCAGGATGTCTATAACACCATCATTTTATTCTGCGTTTCATTGAGATGCTTCTCTTATCAGCAAATAAATCTTCAAAACAAGCAATTGCTCTCAGCAAATTTCAACCTTACTTTTTTGCCTTTTGACAAAAGCAATTCTGATAGCAGAACATTGACTACTACGGGTATTTTGAGACCAGAGGAAAACTAGCTTTCTTCAGAAAGCAGTATTAACAAAAAAACCTTAGGAACCACTTCAAAGAGGGCAACTCCTTTTTTTTGTTTTATTTTGTAAGAATTGGAGACACTGAACTAAACACAGCTAAAAACAACAGCAAATGTGATTAAGTAAATTCATGTTTAAAAGTGTTCTTTTTTTTTTTTCTCCATTGTAGTTGAAATAATTTTTGTAGTTGTTTTGTTTTGAATCCTTAAGATCATCATTGTGCTGAAATGGTTTCCTATGCTGGAACTAAAAATCTTAACTTAGAAAAATCGACCTGCACTGAGGAGGACTTGCTACTCCCTGTGGAAACCGTTGCATCCACTTGAAAATGATGTCACTTCTTCGACAGGTGAGAGCCTGGCTCAGAAATGTAACCAATAATGGATACACCAAACTTTAGAAAAATAATAATTTACTTTGAATTTCTTGTTAAAATAAATTCTTTGTACGTAGACATGCCAGAAAACAAAGGCGGAAGAAATCAAGGATGATGCAAAGAGCACCGTCATGGAGGAAACATTCCTCAACATTCAGCTGATAAATCAGGAATAGGCCAATCTTGGCATTTCAGCATTAATCAACCTCTGTCACAAAGGTGCTGTTGGAACATGGTAAACATTACAATAAGCACAGAGTAGTGAAGTATATCAGCAGTTTAACAATAATCCAAAAGACAATTACAATTATTATATTCCAAACACATTGCGGTGCACAAAAAACAATTATGAGCAGAAACTCTTCTTGTTTGGAGCAAATAGAAGATGGCAGAAAGCCCTATCACACAATTAAATGATCTTTAACTGAACCAAAATAAGAGCAAAGATTAAACTAATTAAATGAAATTCCTGGTTTCATCAATTTTCTATTACATGTACTGTTTTAAAGGCCACGTATTTCAAGAAAAGTGTGAAAAATCACTACCCTGGTCACATTCAATTTAACGTGAGTAGGTGATGGCAAGGGATGGCTCTTGAATGGTTTTGCTATGTTCTTTTTGATTCTCTCAAGGTCACCAAGAACACTAAGGGCAACTTAATCTATCAAAGTTAACAGAAGTTTGAATAAAGAAATAAAGTCAGTAATGGGTTTTAAACTAACTAATCAAGGATCAAGTAAAAGGCTTTTTTTTTTTATGTCACTAGTCATTATCTTCTTTCAAGGATCTCTCAGATTTCTCACTTCATGAAAATAAAATAGAAAATGTATTCTCCAGAGAAGAATGGAGAACTGCAGACTCCATATAAACAAGTATTAAATCAAAAATTGACTGTTTGCTAACATTTTACATCAGAACAACCTTCAGAAATCACCCTAATAGTAGTTGTTCATAAAGAATGGGATTCTTCCCTCTTCCCCATCAAAGCATCAAGTTCACAAGGCTTGCATCAGAACTGGATCGAACAGCCATTGTTAGAAAGAAAAAGCCGCAATTATTACAGCTGTTCTACTATGATGGAATTCTCATTTTCTACTGCAGTACAACAAAGGCAAGTCTGGTGATAATGCTTCAATCTATTTTTCCATGATTTTATATTAGGGATCAAGGATTACTATAACTGACCACTGACTGTGGTGATTTCCGTCACTACCAGTATTGAAAGGAAATGGAAACAAACAGGAGGAGCATTGAGATTTCTTCTTGGAAAAGAAAAATTAGATAAAACTTTAGTGATACAACTCATATTTTTCTACAGTGCTTTGTAATATAAGTTGAATTATGGTACCTTAAAGTAGGAAAAAATATAAAGAACACTATCACAATTGGTTTCACCTTTGTTAACATCAGACCACAATTTCACCTGTGCTTTACTAGAGAATAAAAGCTACACCTTTAGTTTTTCCTTCAAGAGTTCTATTATCTTGCTGTCTTATCCCAGGACTTTGCAAGGATTCCCTTAATAATGCTGAAATTTGTTGAGTTTTTCGATAGAGATTTTGCTGCTGCATGATTTCACTGATAATGCTGATGGAATACAGTAAAATCAATACATTCTGGGAGTAAATCCTCAAATGTATTGTATTTGGACTTGAGAGTGGCACACGTAGATTCTTATTAAGTAGCCTTGTAAAATTGTAAACTGAAGTAAAACCGTCAATAGGCATCAATGACCATTTTGAAATCTCACATAAATGATAACACATTCATTCCTGCCCTTTACCTTCCCTTTCAGCTTGTCAGATCCTTACTTTCCACAGAGAAAGATGCTGGGTGAGATGTAGTCTCAGTCACACCATTTACCTTCATCTAAATCCTCTGAATCCAGCTGAAATATTCCTAAATCACATGAGATCAGAATGAGATCCACTGTACACCAAATTTGACAGAAAGGAAGTTGAAATCCGACTAACACCTTAAAAATTCATATCGATTCAAGCTGCTGTGTGGTTTCCAGACTTAATGTGTTTAAGCACCAACAAAATCTACTTCCATGCATGTATTTATTACACGAAGTATAAGCAGTCTCTAAAAGTAGAAAAAGTGTATTTGTTTATGTAAAAGAAAGCATATCCTGCAAATGCAGATGAACTTTGTAATCATATTTATCTCAGCATTAAAATTAAAAAGGTAGACTAGTCCTCCCTTTCATGTTTGAATTAAAATTTAAAACAATTTTTTAAATCCTTCCTTTAAAACCCCTAATGGAATGAAAGAAGTAAATCTGGTTGTGAATGCCATTATGAATTTCAGAGTCTATTCTTGGTGATGTAATTTGTATGCTGTATTTGAACAAACTGTTGTGCTAATGACATTCCTCAGTCTGGTGTCTTCAATAATAAGCAAACTGAGTTTTAAAATGTAGTTGACGGGATTTTTTCTCTCTCAGACACCCTATGAGGAAAAACAGAATTTCCCATTTACTTTCATGACCTCTGATTTAAAAGCAAAGATTGCACATTATTTACTACTGGATGATTTTCCTGAAATTTAATGAGGACTAAGTACAAATATGACAGAAGTAATTATCACAGTTTTATTCTGCACAGTCAGGGTCTCCTTGTGCTGTAATTGCAAGCCTTTCATTCAGCTGCCGATAGCAGAGTTATTATCATAGTACTTTATGTTATTTCAGAGAGGAGGGAAACAGATTTCTACCCTGTAAATTTATCCCAAGGACTCATTTTGCCTGGCCTTACACTACAGTGAAATTAAAGACTTATGGGAAGAATTTGGACTAAATCTTTCCTGATTCTCCTCACCCATTCCCAGCTGCTGTGAGGCCACCAATCTAACCCCAGTTTTCACATCATATTGGAGGGAAAGGAGGTATTGAGGAGGGATAGCACTTTTTAAAAGGAAGAAGCATGTGGGCAGGTGGTCAGCTCATTGTCTAGCACGGGGATATTTTTTTTAAGGTGTGCTGCTGCATTCATTTAGACTTCAGTTAAGGTTGAGTGAGCCCCAGCTGGAGACTGGACCACTGACCCAGAAGCTGGAGATACCCAGTGACATGCACCCAACTGGCAGCTTCCCTCTCTGAAGCTCAGATATAATTACTTTATTTTACACTCTTCCTCCACCAGACAGCTCACACACGTGGGGAGGAAAAAGCCTCTTCCAGTCAGTTCAGCCTGTACTGATCTTGAGCTATTAATGCCCATTTTGCAGCTCATCACAGTGCTCACTCCTCACCCAAGCGCTGCAATGCCAAATGCACCAGGAGCATCCCTGTATTGATATGATAATTACCGAGGTTATTTAAGTGGAAAGACAGCAGTCTGAAGGAAAGAAATGGTAGGATTTTTGCAAGAGCAAGCAAAGGCAGATCAGTACTGTACTGGTACTCCACATCCACTGCACACTTACGAGGACACAGACTGAATGTGTGCCTGCTAACAGAAAAGATCTCAAATAGAGATCAGTAGTAATAGCATGTACGTCCAGCTCAGGCTGCAACAGCTGTACAACCACAGTAAATATTGCAGAATCAAGTGCCCAACACAATATTCCAGTAGGCAACTGAGGTGGAGAGGAACAGAGACTGAATCTCTCTGTCACTCCTATACTCTACCTCATTTTACAAAAACTATACCAGATTAACAAATATGTTTACACTCACCTGAAGATATTTAATTTTATTTTTTTTTTTTAAATTCAACAGTTTGCAGGGAATCTTTCCAAACCATGGGCTTGCAAAGCAGTGATTTCCTCCTGTCAACCTCCCACTGCATCACCTTCAGGAAACACATATTTTGATCTACTGCTTTCAAAATAGCAAAATGACTACTCAGTGAAATGAACTCACGTAACTATCTGCAGCACATCTTTCCTTGGAATAGCAGGTCTACACAAATGTCAGCTGTGGCACTTCTCCCCAAACAGTAGGTTCTCCATCCTACCATTAAGAAAAGGAACTCAAGAATTTCTCTTGGTAGTTTTTCTTGGTTATGCAAGTTACTGGGTACTTGTCCCAGTCTAATAAAACACTTGTGAACCCACTCTTCTCTGGGTATAAAAATATTTCTGCAAGAGATATTAAGACAACCATAAGATTTTTTTGCTTCATCTATGTGACTTGTTTTATTGAACAAAACTCTTGAGACTGGGAAAGTGACAAAAAAAGAAATACCTTCTAACCCTGCAGAAGAAAATACCCTTATTAAGAGCTGGATAGAAAGGCAGCTTCTGTGTAAAAACACAAGAATTAAAGCTGTGGAAGCAGAGACTCTCTGCTTGCATTAGCTTCAGGCATCCTGGCAAAGCAAACCAGTTTTGTCAATGGGATATCTTGGTCCTGTTTCTTCACCTCAAATACTACTTAATCTAATACTTTTCAGTGTAATTAAAGAAATAATTACACTATAATCCAGAATTACAATTGCAACAGGCATATACACACATGCAAGAATTTATCCCTTCTCCAACCAAATCTGTGTACTAAAACTAGTTAAGCTGTGTCTTTTGGGTAGGTTCGGTAGCCCATCTTGAGTTTTTGGTAAATCCCAGCATTTGTACAGCTGCAACCACCGAACCTGGCTTAGCACTGTCTACAGATGCTGTAAGTCCACTTTGACATCAAGTTGTAATCATGTGAATCACAACCAAGCTCTTACAAGAATACAATATCTTACTTCCAGTTATCCCCTCCCACTCCTGTGCTTCCCAAAAAAACCTCTCTGTTTCTACTACCAAATTAAGGCTTGACCAAACACAACTCACCAACTGCGTCCTGAAGACAAGCAAACAGAGCACTGAAGCACTGGAGCTGGACCTCTGTGTATGATTTACAGGCAGGATACATATTCCTTGGAGCACCAACTTACTGTGATCTGCTGATCCTGGTGCCAAATAGAGCTTGGTCTAGTCAGAGACATACCTAAAAGGAGTCCAGAAATTCTAATCTATGCATGTCTGTTCTTGTCCTCTAAAATGGAAATTGGCAATCCCTGAATGTGCAGGTGCTTTGGCTTCCCATCTACCCTAAGCGAAAGACAAAAACATCCCAAAGATGTTTGTTGACTTCTGTGTATTTTCTAACTCTCAGAATATAGCATTTTGATATGTTGAAGGAAATGAAGCTTTTGAACTCTGCTGAAAGTAAAGAAAACAGAGATCAGGGAACAGCTTTTATGTACTTGTGGGTTTTTTTAAGAAAAAAAGTATTGTTAACAACACTGGAAGTAAGCAGACTGTAATTTCATGCTGTTGCAAATTGTCAGCTGCCTTGCCCACACAAAGTCATTTAACTGGGGGAGTGACACTCCCCAGGAAAATGAGCCAGTAATGGCATATACAGCCCACTGCAGTGAGATCTAATTTTCCATCCTAAGTTCTTTCTCATAGTTTCCCTCTAATAACTTTAATTAGTGCCTAATTAATGTGAATAAAAAGCATGAAAAAAAGTTACTCCAATACTAGCAGTACCACAGAGGTCAAGGACACTGAGCCTTTTCCCCCTTTCACATGGATATCATGACACTTCCGTTGAGATGGTATAACAGGGCAATGCTACTGGCACTATCATACCTATTTTGTGCCTCCAAAGAGAGACCTTTTCTCCCTGTCACCTTTCACAGACCAGAGAGGATTCAACTTACATAAGGCGGGAAGGGGCAGCTTGGCCACACTGGAGTATCTGGATGCAAAAACTGGATTGACCTACTTTTCACTTGGAATGATGATACAAGGGGTAAGGAATCTTGTTCTTGCTTTGAAAACAGCAAGCTCAGAGAACCAGAAGAGCTACAGAAACACCAGGTTGCTCATCAGTGGGTCACCAGCGGAAGAAAGGTAAGAGGAAATGTCATTTTCTGATGCAGAAGAAGCTCAGAAGTCTGTGGAGCTCAGCTCTCCATGACTACAAAATCTATTCCTCCCATGGCTGTAGCTAGTAGGGCAAAGCAAAAAAGAACAAGCTATTTTTACCTCCTCGGAGAAGGAAAAGCTCCACTAAGGGTATAGCATTGAATTCTATAATTCGTAAGTTAATAATATCAAGTACAGAAAACCTGACAGTATTACAAGGTAGAATGAGGACTATCTAATGACTTTATTTTCTTAGTACATAAACTTAAAAGGTACTTATTTATTTATTTCTCTTAAATTTGTAAGGACAGCCTGAAACAGAGTTGTGAAGTGCTCACAACCTGAGGCTGTACAATCTGAGCAGCGAGGTGCCTCAAGTGAGCATATTTTGGCAACAAGGAAAGACAGGGATCAACTATTTGGATTATTTATCATATGTCACCGTACTTACAATTGGACTAGCATTGATGTAGTCTGAACTGTCGTGGCTGCTTTCACCTTTCAGACATATCCTAGAATGGTCATCTGCAAAGGAGAAAATAAGAGAAGAAAGTTTCTATAACAGTATTCTACCCATTATAAGTTACAATGTTAGATCAATGTGCATTTCAAGACCGGTAAATGGAAAGCATCAGAAAGGATATTTCCTTCTGATTCCCGGCCTTGACATAGCATTGATATGGCCACAGCATCACAGTCTGACTTAGGAATGAAGCACTGGGACATTCCAGAGGCTCAGAATCAGAAAAGCCTGTCTTCCTGAGATGCACTGTGATGTATTACAGCCTCTCTTAATTAAAATGGGAATATGTGCTGTTCAGGGAATTTAAGATTTAAACTAGGCAAATCACTAAAAAATTCCCAGTATTATAGGAAACACTCCTGTGTTTGCAGGGTCATAAAAGAGGGAAGTTGATGAAACTTTGTCCACCTGGCTTCTCTACAGAATGAACAGCAGGAACACTGAAGTACAGTTGAGACATGCACAGTAAGGTTATCTGCCCTGATCAAAGACCAGTGCTGTGTGATGCTCCACTAGTGACATGGGGAGACGATACGACTTGAAGATGAAATCCCAATCACAATTGCACTTAAAGTACAACTGGAGCACACATAGACATCTTACACTGGTGCTACTGTAGCTGATTCAGACACGACTAGTAAGGAAAACACCAGTTCTGGACATAGGAGACTTATATTATTTGCCCATCATCAGGATTATTTTATCACTTTTTAACTTGTAATTTTACTGGTGCTAGCTCAATTATATTTAAAACTGGTACACACCAAACTCTAGTCCTTTTCTTTTTTTTAAATTTTTTATTTCAGGACGTATATAATGGATGGGTTTTATTTGTCTATACTTAGACAGCGACAATGCAGATGTCTGCATCTCTTCCAATCATCTAGACTCACTTTCTGCTAAGAGAAAAGAAATATTTCTAGGTGATGAATCATTTCATCCTGATTTAGCTGTCTCAAACAGGCCAAACTGTACTCAAGAAATGCCATTTCTTTCCATTGACTAAAGAAAGAAAGACCAGACCACACTCAGATAATTTATGTGAGAGATGTCTAAGTCTTTACATAAGAATTTCAAACACCTTGTACCTGATACATAACCAGTATGATTTATACTTCTCAGCAAACCTATTCCACACAGTATATTGTGGGAAGAGGTCGTGGAGCTGCCCTTTCTGTAACCCTCTACAGCTGAACATGGATACTGATGTTTTGAGACGATCTTTCCACTGATTTTTCAAATAGACAAAATAAGAGTATAGGAATACAGCCTGACCCCTTTTGTACCTTGTCTAGTGGCCTGTGACACCACTCTTAACACCAGGATTCCAAGATGCTTTTTAAACTATTAAGTACCAGTCAATATTTTAATAAAGAAGAATAATAAATGAGTTATCAAATATTCTAAGTACCTCACAGGAGGTTAAGTTCATTCAACAGTAATGCCATGGTAGTTCAATATATGAGCAAGACAGAGGGATGCTTGTACAAGTGTTTACAGTCATTCAATCTCACCCAACAATGTCAACAACATTCTCCTGGAATATGATCAGTGATGAATAAGTCATGTCAAATGAATGAAGAGCCAGTCTTTACTATTCACATAAAATCATTTTCCCTGGTAAGGTTTCAACACAACAGAAGGATGAAGAAGACGAGAAAGGGAAGATGTTCATGCACATTATTCACTTCCACCTCACTTTGGCACCATTGCACAAAAAATCCAAAATATAAAAATGAACTTTTGACACCTGAGATCTTGGGCTACTCAATACTTTTTACATGAAGCTTTACAATGAACACTGTCACAGAGTGCCTGAAGAATTACAGCTCTGAAAACTTTTGTCTTTGTAGAAGATATGCAGGTTACATGCAGCAAATGTGGTCTCTCACATACCTTAAACTAAGCAAGCACTCAGGATAAGCCCCATTCACTGGACAGCAAAAGTGTTTGAACCAATCACCAAAGAAAACATGTGAAATGTTTTCAAATGGATGAGGGAGAAAGAGCAGACAGTGATCCATGAGTTTTTAGCAAACAGACACAGGGTGACTCTCCAATAAAAGTCAGGAGTCAGATAAGTAACTTCAGGATTTTTCTGTTTAAAACAAAATGTTTTATCCAGACCATCTGAATAATGCCATGTCATTATTCTGTTGTCTTGGAGGGTTTATCAGAGGGTGAGACTTGTTAAGGCTTTGGTAGTGAAAAGGTGGTGAGACTGTATTTGCACTTAGAAAAAAAAAGTGTGCAAAAAAGGTTGTACATGTGTTTTCCGCATATATCAAGAGTTTGCACCCATGTGTGCTTCAGTTGCAGCATCAAGCATTCATATTGACAATGAACAGATTGTGCTTGTCTATGCCTGTTATCACTTCAAAGCTTCTAGGAACTTGCATAATAGATCTTCAGAAACAGGCAGGGAAAGAAGAAAAGGAAAAAAAAACCGCAACAGAATACCACGGACACCAGAACATTATGATAACAATGAGCGACTACAGGGAAAATCACCAAAGTAATAACATTTTTTTTTTTGTAAACTGCATATTGATTATGTTGGAAGCAAGGAAAGAGAATCAGGAGAAGCAGGAAGTTAAAGTAAGGACAGGCATGTCAAAAAAAGGAAGGTATGTAAGATCAATCTAAAAAGTGAGAAAGATGAATGAAGAAACAGGAGAGGAGAGGGATGGTAATAAGGCAGTGAGAGAAAAGACAAATGCTGTTACTAGGTAGTGCAATCTGGCCAAGCTACAACTCATCATCATTTTAAGTATCTACAATAGCTGCTGCTGAGTGCTGAACTACTTTGCATTTGCTATTGCTCCAGCCAAGCCACAGCTGAAAGAAAAGCAAAATATGTAGATGGATATACGTGGCAGAGAGAGGCTTCCTAAATAAGATGGCTAGACTAATCTGTGGCTGTGGAAAAATATAGCACAATGTTGTATTTTATACACATATAAAATATAAATTATAAAATATAAAGGATAGAGGATAAAGGACATAATATAAGCAGACACATGTGAGTTTACAGTATATAAAAATTCAATTTAGAGACTAAAAACATCTAAGTTTTAGCATCTACATACAGATATCTTCATGTGAAGTGGTTACACTTAATGGAGCTCTATTTAGTTGGCTAAACATGAAGATGTAATGTTTGAGAGACTGTGAAGTAGATGAGACACTGCACAAGGATAACAGATACGACACAAGACCTAAAGACTTGTACCCTCTTGAACCAGCATCTGTAGCTCACACAGGATATACAGTGGCATCCTAGAGCTATTTCACTATAAACTAAACACCAACTTTTGGCCATTGCAGAGCTCTCTTGATGTCACTGCACTAACTGGCTCTTCACTGGCAGTATCAGGGGCTTTGACACCTGGCTCATGTGGAGGCAGCTACACGGAGACACTTAAATTTAGGCATCTAATCTACGATTTCACTGACTCATGCCCGGAGAACTTGATTTTAATGCTTGTGTGTGGGTTTCTAGTGGTATCTGAGGTGTTTTAAGGACACTCAGGCTAGCAGGTAGGAGAGGCACAAGCTTCTCACAGAGCTTGTGTTATAGCTGCTAGTTCTGCCTGGGTACCTTGAATACTTTAGGCATCTCAAATGGCACTGGATTCCTCTGTCTAAACTTAATGAAGATCTATTATTTCTGTTATTAGACGGGGATTGAAAGCTTGGAAAAGTAAGACTCACATCTTCCCTCTGTCTTCTGTTTCCTTTTAATCAGATATTTCTGAAGGAACAGAATCAACAAAAAAAAGGCTAAAAACAAGGAATATGGACAACTCTGGATTGTGTGGACCCAGGCAACACAGATCAGGGCAAATCTTACAACTATCAACCTGGCACATTCTGCCTGGACCATCATTCTCTTCCTTATAGATTTAGACTGATTTTTTTCCATACAAAGCACTCTATAGAACGGCACTGAAGTAAGAAAGGGAAGAACTACCAAGGAGCAAAAGTGGAGCTGTTTGAAGACTATGAAGAATCATAATGTGTTGATTATCATTATTTTGCCTATAGATGATCAGCACAAAATGGAACTTTTCTTGGGTCTGAACTGAAATCAAGTTCATTTATTTCAGAGCACTATTCGTACATCCATTCCTGACACAGATAATGAACAAACCTGGAGGAGGTACCCTCTGTTCAGGTGTTCAATCTTTGGTGCACAACCCCTGGCTGTGCTCTAAAAGCACACAAGCCTCAGAGCTGGGTGCATGTTCTGCCCACAAATGCTTTGCTCTCCTTTGTAGGAAAGCCAAACACAGAGATAAGTAGGTTGCTTTAATATCTACCATGACCCATGGACACAGCTACAGTGGGCAGCTTTTAATAGATGTTCACTACAAAAACTTGTTTGCCAAATGCTTTAAATACCTGTATATATTTATGGGATACATACATCAAAACATACAGTATTGACCCTATTGAGATGGGTTTGTTTTGCAGAGATGCAAAAAGAGAAAAGAAATTCTGGAAAGCTTTTTTTGGGCTGCTCATATATTACTACAGAAAAAAAGGTATCACTAAATTATAGTACTAAATATAAACATTGACTGTCCTAAATTATAGCAATCTGCTTGTCGATTGGATAGAAGGATACAGTTTTGTTAATCTAGAAGGTACAGGTTACTCGAATTGTTATAATTTTTTTAACTAGTAATTAATTAAGTGCAATGTCAAGATGTTCTGTAATCAAGTATTTTAAAAGCTGTTTGTAAATAGAGAAGATAGGTATAAGAGCAAGCTATGATAAAATTGTGATAATGTTAATCTAGAAATTAAATCAGTTATATAATCAGTAAAAAATAACACTGTACTATTTTAAGACTGGTTAAGAAAGGAAAATGCAAAGCAAATACAACATGATATTAAAGCTTCTTTGAGGCCTTTCTAAAATGAAATCTTCTACATGAATTGGCAATCTTGTTCTACCTTGACAAGGTGATTATTAATATGAAAGGGGTAAGGACACACTAACAAGACATTACTCTGTGAGAATATATTGAATGTAGCATAACAACTCTATAGCATATTAAAATCATATTGGGTTTGCTTCTTCATTTATTATGAAGCAAATCTATGACTTTTTTCTATAGTTTTAGTGCCTAACAAGGAAAAAAAAGCGGGCAAACTGGGCCTTCTCATCTCAGTCTAATCTTGGAGTCTAAAATAACCAGCTTATCAAAATTTAATATTGTTTAAATTCTATGCCACACTTTTCACTCATCAACAAAATAGTTTTAGGGATATAACCTGACAGTTGTTTACCAGTGTGCAGCCACTTCAGAAAGTGAAGGCAGGTAATTTTGTGCAATTCAATCAAAAAGGAAAATTCCCAGTGCACTAATAGTTGTAATAGAAGTTCCTACATTGTAGAAACAAAGTAAAAATAGCATTTTGCCTTTTAAATGCGCTAAAATACTTTTAACTAAAACTTCAGATGGATTGTGGTCACCCTGCCCATGTCCAGGTAGTATTGATTCATTCTAGACACCGCAGCGGGAAGAACAGGTGTAACAATACGCCATGGAAAAAGCAATGGCAGAGAACTGAAGGCTGATCAGTGTAGGCTGATACATCCACATGGTACAATATGATGAAAAGAGACAGTCTCTCTTAGCTCTGAAAATACTTCAGCTCTCTGGTGTTGCATGACATTGAGGTGCTGGAGCACGTCCAATGGGCACCGAGGCTGGTGAAGGGTCTGGACCACAAGTCCTACGAGGAGCAGCTGAGGGAGCTGGGGGTCTTTATCCTGGAGAAAAAGAGGCTCAGGGGAGACCTCATCACTCTCCACAATTACCTGAGAGGAGGTTGTAGCGAGGTGGGGGTTGGTTTCTCTTCCCAAGGAACCAGTGACAGGACAAGAGGAAATGGACTCGAACAGTGCCAGGGAAGGTTTAGATTGGATATTAGGGAAAACTTCTTCACCAAAAGGGCTGTCAAGCATTGGAATAGCCTTGAGTCACCATCCCTGGAGGTATTTAAAAGATGTGTAGACATCACACTCGGGGACATGGTTTAGTGGTGGACTTGGCAGTGCTGGGGTAATGGCTGAACTTGACGATCTTAGAGGTCTTTTCCAACCTAAATGATTCTTTGACACCCAAGTAAAAATCTCTGCTCTTTAGTCCTGTCACGGTCACGTTACTTCTGGATTTAGAGGTAGACAAGTGTAGTCTGAAGGTTTCTATCTTAGTTCATCGTATCATGCAGACACAGTTTCTAAATCACTCAAATAATCAGCACCAATTCCTGACAACACCTGTAGCTGCCACGCTGCCTCCAAGGCAGCAACCAAAACCAATCTGGTTTAATTTATGAGCAGAGACTTGAAATAGCTTAAGATGGTCTAACTTTAAGTCCATATTGAATAGAACACTTTAAGAGAGAAGGCTAACTTGGATCAATACCAATTTTTGTGGAGCAATTTTCACTTCCTGTCATGTCGGTTAAATTCTGCTCTTTCAGGATTGAAAAGAGCACAGAAGTCTTGCATTCCTTTAATTAATTTAACTTTCATAGTGACTTCTTTAGAACTTCTCAACAGACCTGATCCCAAAACACATGGAAGTTAGCAAACTGCTGCTGTTGCTTCTGGCCAGCACCTTATTTACTCAGGAGAATTAATGTTGCCAAACTACTGTACTCCTCTCCTGAGGAGCCAAGTATTGCAGAAAGAACCACTACATTAACAAAAGAACCAAACCCCGTTGAAGCAAATATGCAAGGACTTAACGGGCTCAGCTAAATTATTACATACTTCCAAAGAATCTTCACTCTAAATCTGGCTATGACATTTACTTCATGTGTTACCTGTCATTTCCCCATTTCTAAAGGAGGAATAGTACTTATTCAAGGTTCTCTTAGTGAAAATTAATGTTTTCAGGGCACTTTAAAAATTAAAATAGATACATATGTTTGCCAAGCTATCCAGCTGGATTGTGGGCACACTGATTGAGAGTATTTTGGTTGCTGTGGACTGTGCATATATTCTCAGTTTCATTTTTGTTTCATTGGTTGCTTAATAAAATGTGTGCACATAGATTACCAATGTAATCTACGAGATACATATATTTGCATAGGAAAAATATGTTACTTTTATTTCAAGCTCAGAAGGTGGCTGCTTACAGGAAAGAACGGGTTCTAGGAATATAAACATGGGCTCTTCTTTTTTTTTCCCTTTTTCTCTTTTTATCCTAAGCCTTGTAGAGAGAAGCCAGTTTGCAAGCTTATCCACTGAAGCCTAAAGGGGCTCTTTCAGTACAGCTGAGTATCTGATAAACAGATCATCTAGCTCTGACTATAGACTGCTGGTATTACTGTTGGATGGACATGATACCAACTTGTCTAAACACATGCCAAACTTCTTTCTGTTGAATGGCTACAGATGCCACTCTTGTATAGAAAGTATATTTCAGCATTGAAAAGCACCCTGGCTATGGGATTTCATGAGACAGCACAGCTGCAGCATCAGTGTTACGTGGCATAGTTGTGCATTTTAGTAACATATATGCAACTTTTAAGGAGATAAACATAGACAACAGGACATGCACCCAGCCCATAGCTGTAGCCCCATCTTTGTAGGGCACATAGAAGTTGCTCTGCATTCTGTTTGCCTGCCATCTGTAGCTTTCAAACCACTGTGCAAAGGGTATTTTGAAAAGTGTCAAGAGCTTAAAATGCTATCATCTGAATGAAGGTGTACATACATGGTACTACAGCCTGGGAGCGGTTCTTCTGGATATTTTCCTCCTGCTGTGCAATGGTGGTGTCGCTGGGTTCGGCCTGATAAGCACACAGAGCTTCCCACTCTTTCTCCAGACGATTCTTGTTTTTCAGGTGATCTTCCATGTAGGACTGGAATGAAAAGAATACTGCATTAAGCATTTACTTAGCTAGGCTCAAAAGCTAAGCTAAAAGGATGTTTCTCAAGATGGAAAGCACGGGAATCCTAAGCTTTGGAGTAAAAAAAAACCCCTCAGTTTTATGGCTAATTTATTCACTTCAGGGATTTAACTTCAAGCTTATTTGTGCTATACAGAATGAGAATGCTAAAAGTCCCAGTGCTAACAGAGAGGAAATGTGTGAAACATCCAGTTACTGAGTTTCAACAGGAAAGTGTTTCTTCTTCAATACTTAGAAAACATAAGCACAACCATCTCTTTCATCAGGCAATGGAAAAGAAACAAAACTCCACTGACAAAAATTACTACAAACGACAGCTCCCTTAAAAACCAAAGGTTTTTAAAACTAAAGTTCAAGCACATATGCAAGTAACAACAATGATAGAGCTGTCAAAGAGAATTAAAAAATAGCCAAGTAGAAGTGTCATGGTTCAAGCACTGGGTCATCAGAAATATTCTACATATGGACTGGCACAGAGAGGGGCTAGAACTAAGGTGTTGTTAATTAATATTAATATTAATATTAATATTAATGTGTGTAGTTAAAGATTTTACATTGTTTAATTAACAGTGTTAGGAAAGCATCACCAAAGAAAACTGTCTGTCTGTGGTAGGAATGATGGCCCATCAAAGCATACTGGTGCAGGTCTTAAGCTTTTGCAGATCTCCCAGGGCTAGAGATCCAGTCCAGCAGTGGATCAGGAATTCAGTTCCAAAGATTTATGGAAAGTGAATCAAAACCCTATTCCTTCACCCTATGGACCCAAAAATCATCTGAGTAGGTCAGGGTAAGAGAGTAGAAAGGAAAAAGGGTGAGGAAAAATAGTAATCTTCCACTCCCTTAAACATGAGAATTAAGAAAATGATCACCTGGTACCATAAGTCTACTTATACAACCTTGCCATCTTCTCCTACAGCAGCAACAGAACCATCTCACATTACACACAGTTCATATTTGTAAATTAAACTCCATACTACCTTTACAAGGTAGGTTGATGTTAACAGACTTTAGGAGATAGGCTCAGGGTCTGGACAGGGGTTGAGAGGTCAAGAGCAGAGCTGTGTGCGCTTCTGACCCAAACATTGGTCACAGTGATTCCTGCTGGAGCCCTCAGTAATACAGCCCAGTCAGTAGCAAACCTTGTCTAGAAATATCTCCTGTAAAGGATTTACTGTAAAGTATAGAAAGCAGTTTAATTGCTTAGAAAACCTTTTTCCTAGACAATCTGTTATGTCGAATTGTTCTTTCCAAACATGCTTTGAAGAAGAAAGGCTCTCGTGCCCTCTCAACAGGTTTAGCAGAAGGTGCAGAAAGCTTGCAGCTTCTCCTCTGCCAAACATGAGCTGTGCACTGTGCTTCCCACCTGGTCAGCAAGGCAGGATATTGTTCTCTCATGCAGCTTGAACAGTTTTTTGATTACAGAAGAGATCCTGACACACAGCTTTGTTTTGCGTAGATTTTGTCGGGGGCCTGCGTCTTTACACAAGATTTGTAAATCAAACCTGGAACTGAAAAGCAATTCAAGAAGTGATGCTTCCAGAAGGTATATCTTTAAGGACACAGAAAGATATTGCATTAGAAGAAAGGTTTCTAAAGGAGGTAAAGAACAGTGGTGGCCTAGATACAATCAAAACACCTACTGTGTGATTGCTTCTTTTTTATAATGAAGGAAACACATTACAGTGGACAGAGCTGTGACCTGACGAACGGGGAGCTGGGAGGAAACCATACTCTGATAGTTTGCTTCTCCTTGCCAAAAGGCTGTTGCTACTGGGGAAAAGAGGGAGGCTAAAGATCCTGTTCTTTTCTCCTAGTGATTCTGTGCCTGGCTGTGTATACTGAACATCGTAAAAAACATAGATAATCCCTTCTGAGCAGAGACTTGTTGGTATATAGGAATTTTTATGAGGTAAAGGGAAAAAAATAGCAAAATCTTACAATACCACAGAGCCAATAGTCCTGGTTTCAGAGCAGCTGTTTAGCATGCAGTAGAGATCAGGTAGTCAAGGACCAGCCCGTAGCATCTTTCCATTTTAGACCACAGTTTTATAATGTGATTCATTTTGACATGCCTATCACCAATGTCCCATAGACTTCAGGGACATTTTATGCAGATATACAGATCTGCCAACACTGAGTCTCTCCAAAATACTGTGAGATCCACGAAGCTGTAGCAAAAAGACCATGAACATTTTATTCCTAAAGCAGGGCTATATGTAGCAAAAGGCTTCCTGTTAACTCCAACTTGTCTCTTTGATGATTTCAAGGATTGTATTTTAAAAAGAAATTTTATTTTCCTTCTTAAATCATCAAATATGACACAGTTAAGGTAATTTGACTGCTTTTAGTGCACATGAACTTTTAAATAAACTCACCTATTTTTAAAAGTTTTTACTTTTACCTTCATTTTCCAGGTAATTCCGAGTGTAAAGAGAAATGAATCTTCAAATGAACATACACTGCAGTCTTTACTTTAACCAGACAACCATTTTTTGAGTAGTTTCAATATCTACATCACACATATCAGATTCACAGGGCACTTCCTGACAGACCTCGGAAAAGGTGTTTGACTATTTAAACAGACACATGGAAGGCTCTGTACAATACAAACATCTGCTTTACGCACATTTTTAAAAGCTACTGAGAAAGAAGCTTGCTTTAAAACATTCAGGAGCCAGACAATTCCCTCAGAGTTAAGTAATCTTTCATTTACAGTCCTTCAGAGCCCCTATGCTCATCCCCATTTTGCTAAACAGAAGCTTAGTGATTTTGAAACACTCTCTTGGGAGTGCTGGATGTACATTAAATTGAGTGGAACTTCTGATATTTTAGAGATTGTATGTCTACTCAAATCCACTCCTTAATTAGGATGTTTTGATGAGACATTCTGCAGTATTTGCCTGGTACAAAAGAAATTCATTACCAACATGTCAAACACGCGCATGATTGTCCTTGTCTCAGAGCAGCAGGTAAAATAAATAGAGGTTGTCACAACTGTTATCGTAATGCTCCTCAAGCCTGCTGAAAAAGTAGAGGTCTAGTCTCACCAATATGTCCACATCAAGGCAAGTCCTGCAATCCAGAGTATATTATTTAAACAAACACTGTCTGCTTGGACAGCTCTGAAGTGCCTTAAATTCCATTGTCTTAATTTTCCTTCTACAGGCCCTCACCTGCCAGGACAATTGGCAGCCCAGTTCATACCTTCTCGTGTACAGATAGATGAGATATTCTTGTCACAGGGATAAGGAGGATGTGCCAATGTTATGTGGAGAGAGCGGATGTGTTGTGATATCTGTTATTACTGCGTGAGACATGCCAGTTGTAAGGCAAAAAATGAGCTTTCAGCCAGGGGATGAAAAGCTGTCCCAGGGACAATGAATCTTTGGCCAAGAGAGATGGTGCCAGTGGCAAATATTAAGACAGATTCCGTGTGCTTGAACAAGGACACAAAGACAAAACAAAGCCTGGCTTGGTTTTGGTAGAACTTCCAGTGTCCTTGGTTGATGTTGTAATATGGGGTCAAACTGCTTTGTTTTTCTTTACTTTTTTCATTATTCTTTTCTTTTTTCAAGGGCCATCCAGTATGGGCTCTGTGACTAAATGAGGTTAAAAATGTAACCATTAAATTCTAATTGTCTAGTCAATCTCTAAATCATAGAATCACAGAATCATTTAGGCTGGAAAAGTCTCTAAGATCTCTAAGTTAACCCAACACTGCCAAGTCCACCACTAAACAATGTCCCTACGCACCACATGTACATGTCTTTTAAATACCTCCAGGGATGGTGGCTCCACCACTGCCCTGAGCAGCCTGTTACAGTGCTTGACAACCCTTCCAGTGAAGGAATTTTCCCTTATATCACAGAATGACAGAATATGCCGAGTTGGAAGGGACCTACAAGAATTATCACATCCAACTCCTGGCCCTGCACAGGACAATCCCCAAGATGATACACTGAGAGTATCATCCAAACTCTTCTTGAACTCTGGTAAGTTTGGTGCTGTGACCATTTCTGTGGGGAGCCTGTTCCAGTGCCCAACCACCCTCTGGGTGAAGAACCTTTTCCTAACATCTGACCTAAACCTCCCCAGACACAACTTCAGGCCATTCCCTTGGGTCCTGTCACTGGTCACCACAGAGAAGGGATCCCCTGGTACAACTTGAGGCCATTTCCTCTTGTCCTATCACCTTTTACTTGGGAGAAAAGACCAAATACCTTCTTGAGAGATAGTATGGTTTGCATCTGTTAAGATATTAATTTTAAAAATAAATGCCTATTTTATTAGCTGATGTTCAGTTATTACAATTATTTTTGACTGCATAATTCCAGTACGGTACTTGATTAAACACCCTTTTTCATGACTAAGGATGCCTCTTTCAATGAAAAGATGTGAAACTCTTAAATTGACACACCTTGACAGGACTAATCAGATTTCAAATGTCAGCTGAAGAAACAGATGCAAAATTATCTTAATGCTTGAGAACAGTTACCACTCAAATCCATATCATTGACCTGACAGTGCAGGAGCCAAAGCTTTGCATCGTTCTGTCCCGGGACGCCCCAGCATTCTTGCTGTTCTGCTTTAACTCCTTGGTCTTCAGTACACATTGCATTGACTATATATGAGAAATACTTTTCTGCATAAATCTAATTTACTTTCAACATTGTACACAGTTTTCTTCTTCCTTTTTCTGGCTCAATACCTCATCATCAGCGGCTTCACAGTTAATTTCTCTGTTCCCTTTCATGTTACTCACAGTGCTCTGTTTAGAGACAGAAGAAGCCTGTGTGATTACCTATTTCCAGGCCTTCAAATAATGTTGTTTCTCATACTAAGAAACTTTCTAACATTTGGCTGCCCTGTATCTAAAGTAGAAGCCTAAAACACAGTTTGTTACTATATCTTGAGACTCTAAATGAACTATACATTGTATTCCTGGAAACGTG